CTTCCCGGTGCGGTGGGAGACAAGTCCTGGCTGTGCAGAGACAAAAGCATGCTGGGGGGGGGGGGCAAGGCAGGCAGGGGACCTGCTGGGCTATGGGCTGCTGCTGGGGCAGGCCCCAGGGAAGACCAAAGGAACTGACAGGGCTACCCGAGCTTTGCTCATTTTGTGGGAAGGAGGGACCACGGAGCAGGGCTTGGCCTGGTGGCACTCAGCTGGTGTCACCAGAGAGCAGAGCACGAGTCGGGGCATGCAGGGCTTTGAAGAGCAGGGTACAAGGACATGCCCTGGGCCTGCCCCTCAGCCGGGCACACTGGTCATGGGGCTGTCCTGTGCACCAAAGGGTGCCGAGCAGCATGTCTGGCCTCCACGTTTAGGATGCCAGTGTCACCCCTCCCACTTGGGAAACCAAAAGTGTATGAAGACAAATCACACCTGACTCAGAACCACGGCTATAATGCACAAGGGACGAGGCGCAGGCCCTGCTTGGCCAGAGGCCCTGGTGACAAAGGAACGTCCCAGGCCCTGCTTGGCCAGAGGCCCTGGTGACAAAGGAACGATGCATCTGGTACCTTGCATCGTAAGAGGTACAATGAGTAAGACGCTACTTAAGAGGTACAATGAGTAAGACCTGGAGCAACGGGACACGGCGGTTGGAGAAGGGGCCAGTGACAAGCTTCTAGGTAGCAACCAAGCAGACGACGGTCCCAAAGCACCAAAGGGCCAAGGTGGAAGTGAAGAACTGCTGGGGTCCGAGGCTCAGCAGAAAAGTCTGCTGGCGGCTGCAGCCCATGAGACTGGACAGAGCAGACTCATTTTATTGGGGGGGAGGAGGGGAGCACAGTATTGTCTCCAATTATTTGCTCACCCCTTCCCCCATAAGAGGTCTATGCATCCTACATCCTGCCTCTGGCCATGGGATTTCCCGCACCCTCTATGGAAAGAGCACCAGTCTCCTCCCCTTGGGGGGCAGGGCCAGGTGACCTGCTTTGGCCCATGGAACCTGAGCCGTCAGGTCTAAGCTGAAGCTTGAGGAGACACTGAGTTTCTGCCACTCTTTGCCATAAGAATAACATGATCCAAACAAAGGCTGGTCCCAGGTCCAGAAATGAAGACTCTCAACAAGAGCCGCAAGTAAGTGTAACGTGAACAAGAAATAAACCTCTCTTGTTGTAAGCCACTGAAACGTTGGGGTAATCTGTCCCCTCAAGCTTCTCCAGAGAAAGCTGCCAAAAAACTCCGAGTCAGATTTCTTCCTTCTCCAATTGGTCCTGCACATCACTGCCAGTTAGACGTCCCTACCCCATTTTATCAGGACTGCCCTTGCTCAGACTAGAAGTGTCTCCCCAATAGCTGGAGAACTGAAACCTAAAGTATTTATTTACCCAGAACTCAAAGACATTCACATTATCATACTTGTTTCCTTATTCCTTATACAACCTCTGACCCCCACAAACCAGACACAACCCAACTTCTTACCTTTGTCTGTGTTGCTGCACCAACATCCTAACTCCTTCCCCCCACTCACCTCCTACTGAGCAAAGTTTAGCTCAAAACCACCTCTTCCTTGAAGCTTTCTCTCACGTGACAGCCTCTGTAATCATTTCCCCTCTGAACTTCTACAGCCTTCTTCTGTAAATGGGCCACACAGTAAATAGTTTGGGCTTTGTGGGCCACAGAGTCTCTGTTGCAACTAGTTAGTTCTGCCAAAGCAGCCACAGACAACACAAAACGAAGGGGGCTGGGAGTATTGTGTTTCAACAAAACTTTATTTACAAACACAAGCAGGGGGCCTACCAGTGGCTGCAGCTTACAGACCCTGGTCTGGAGCACTGTTTGGCCCTTCATCAGAGAAGAAGGATTCACAGCCTCAATCAACTTTCTCCTTATCCTGCTCCTTGAAAGAACAGTGTGCTACCCGTCTATGACACTGTATCACGTGCACAACTGAGTGCTGATTAGATGTTCAGTTAAAGAGTACTGAATCAACGATGCTTAGGACACTGAAAAACATGCCTAGTGCTGAACAGTATGGTTTCCAACAGAATTCCAAAGACTTCAAAGAAAGCAGGGAGAAAAGCCACACCAATGTTAACCCCAGGAAAATACCACCAGGTGGAGCCTAACCATCACCAGTCATCTCTTTTCACAACACAGACTGTGGCAAAGCCCAGGATGGGTTTTTGCGTTTAGTCACAAGCTTATGCATGGGAGGGAGGTGAGGGCTGCAACTCCTATTATCAGCACTCTCTGACATATGACAGAATTCATTTTTGGCACCATCACATTTTTGGGGGGCTTGGGGGGGGTGGAGGGGGATGTCGAACAGGATGGCAGGCATTGCTAAGTAACTCAGGTCCCAGGGAAATACAAAGTCCTGTAAAATGTCGGTCCCAGAAGCACGAGATCAGAGCACAGAAGCGGCAGTGAGCCAGGCTGTAGGCCCAGGGGAGGAGGTCCATCTCAGCAGGTTGGAACAGTGTGGCCAGAGGACAGGAGTCAGGGTCGGACTCAATCTCGGGGAGCAGGGCAGAGCTGCCAGATAATGTCAGGGGCAAGCCCCAAAGGCTGACGGGGGGCAAGCAAGGCAGGGACAGGAGGCAGCAGAGAAGGCCAGTAACTGAGAGTGTGGATTTCACCGGGGGGAGCAAGAAACCTGGTGGGAGAAGGAACCTGGAGGCAGGCAGCCAACCTGGGTCAGTCCAGCCCGGGCCCAGAGCTGCGCACACAGCCGTGCGCCGAGGCTGTGCTCCTGAGCCTGGACACTCACAGCTGATGACGAGAGGGCCACAAAAAGGGTCACTGAGAAGGCACAGCAAAGGGGTTCTGTTAGTAAAACTAGGTTATCTCGATATGAGAACATATTGCACAGGGTTTTTTCCCCAAAAGCACCAAAGAACTAGGCAGAAGCCTAACAACACACTGTGTTCACTGTTACTAAATTGTTCAAGGATGGCCACCCAGCACACATGCAAGAGAGAAGGCTGGGATGAACATTTTTAAATCTATCCTGAGATATTTTAAAATGTGCTCACAGAAGCTGTTTCGTTACCATTTGTTCTGAGCATCAAACGCTCTCACCTTAAACCCCACCAATGCCAAGACTACTTAAAGTGGAAGAGTTTCCCCCAATCTTAGTGTCACACAGATGAAGGGGACGAGATGTAGTTGTCCAGCGTACATCTGGGACACTTTTCCTAGATCTGAGAAAGAGGATCATCTCCTTGGGAAGTGGAATTTTCCACTTCCTTCTGAAGCAAATTAAGACTTTTTTCTTCCAATTTCTTCCAACAGTTTAGCAAGACAGAATGTTACACCACTGATAACTCCAAGTTCACACTTTCGGTTGCGTAGTCCTCACTGTTACTTAAAGTGTGTTAATAAATTATCTTTTCTATGACAAGGATAACACTGTGAAGTATAACAAGTATGGCTTTGGTAGCTTAACTCGAACAGAATTACCCAAGAACTGCTCTAAGTCTCATTTCTGTCAATAACAATCCCGCCTACCAGCCCTGTCCCCCACCCCCATCCCCCCAGGGAAAGCAAAAACTACAGTATTCCAGAGTGGCTCATAGCTTTCTTTTTCTAAAAATACTTTTAAAAGCAGTTCTATGTAATAACTTATCTAAGTCCATGAGATTTGTTTCTCATTAACCTTCATAAAGGCTTGTTTCTTCCAAACATGACTCCACCTACCTGTGTGAGAAAAGGGAGCCACAGACTTCACGATGGGGATGCTAGGGGACCTGAAGAAGCGCCACCCAGCAAATGCACCTGGAAACAGACCTTGGCAGTGATGACACCCTAACTTTTCTGAACACTTACAATGTACCAGGCACGAAGCGTTTTACAGACTTGATTCACTGGTTCCTCACAACCACCCTAGAAGGCCAATATTAGTGGTGTTCCCATTTTACAGACGAGGAAGCACAGGCCCTGAGCACAAAGCCAGTAAACGCAAGAGTCAACTCACAGGCAGGCAGTCTGGCTCCAGCACCAGCCCTCTGTCCTCCAGCCTCTTGGCAAGACAGCTGACTAGACAAAGTGCGGGCAGGGAGAGCGACCGGCCGCCTCTGTTTATTCACTGAGCGAGCGTTTGCGGGTCATCGAGTCTGCCAGGACGCTTTATGCAACGAGTCTTCTTGATTCAGTCACACCTCCTATCAAATCTCCTTCCCCTTCCCCCAGCGAGGAGAAACACACCTCGCTCATTGTGAATGGGGAGCCGCCGCCGGGAACCACCTGCTGTTTACAGAGGCACCCAGGACACGCAAGGTTCAATTCCCCTCACTGGCTTCAAAGACAAATCTGCTATTGTCTGCACCGGGGAGGAACACGAAGTCCTGCACCCGGAGGTTTCTGCAGAGGTCACTGAGGGTTTGGTTGAACCAAACGACGTTGCGGGGGGAGGGGCGCCGCGTTTCTGCTGCCGAAGCAGCGCAGCGCCCACAGCAGCTGCTGGCGGGAGCGGCGGGAGCAAGCCCGCAGCTGCTGCGGCCTCGCAGCGGCCGCACGTTTCGAAATGAAAGGCGTCCTGCTCCAGGACGCACAGCCGGCCTCGCTCGCGGCTCTCGGCACGGAACTCTCCGCCTCCGCGCACACCAGCCCGCAACCGACAAGGGGATTCCGCCGCCGAGAGGGCGGGGCGCCAAACCCGCCTCGCCTCGGCGGCCACGGCCGCACCTGGGATGCGCGTCCGACGACCCGCACCCCGCACAAAGCCGGGCCAGCCCCGCACCGCGCCCCGACGGCGCCCCGGAACCCACGCCGACGCTAAGGCCTTGCAGTGCGCTCACGCCCACCCCGGGGCCGGACACACACACGCGCCCTCACGCCCACTCACAGCGCTGCTCCCGCGCGGCCTCGGCCCCTTCCGCGGCCCCGCCCGTCCCGTCCCCTCGGTCGCTGCGGCCCGGACCCGCGCACGGCCGGGCGGGGGCCGCAGCGCCGGCCCCTCCGCCATCTTCCCGGCCCGCACCGCCCACCGCCCGCGCTCTCACCAGCCGGCTGCCCCTCATCCCGGCCCGCGCACTGCGCGTGAGCTGCCCGCGGCTCTCACACCGCCGCTGCCGCCCGCCGGTTC